CATCACTGTTATAAATAGGACAGATGGGGAGGGTTGGGCAGAGACTAAGAAAGGAGAGGATAGATAACAAACACTGCAATAGAACAGATGAGGGGAAGAACTGTCCTAAAGGAATATATGATTAGTCATTATACACATGACAATAATCTGGAATGAGAAGTGCATTGCTGGGTGGCCTGGAGAGAGGGAAGAAAATCTTCAACAAAAAGTTATAAATGAAAAAAAGTTAACTGGAGGAGGAGGAGGAGGTAGAGAGGAGGAATGAGGAAAACGTGCAACGATGAATGAATGAAAATCCAACTTTTCTGTAAACATTCATTAAAATAGCAATGAAATAAAGTTTAAAATATTTAAAAAAAAAGAACTCACTGGCCTTACCTTCCTGAAGCAAACTTGTCTCTTTCCTTCTACCCAGCCCTGCCCTGGGCTGTCCTCCCTTGTCCTGTTCTTCCCCAACTGCCCGACTCAGCCTGTCATGGGACAATGCAATCCAGTCCAGCCCTGCCCAGCTCAGCTCTGCCCGACCACTGTAGCCCCGCTGTTCAACACAGCGCTCGGCATGTATTTATGGAGCGTGTACATCTGTAGGCGTGAGTGCATGTTTTCATGGTGAGGGGCATTGGGATTCAGTGGTGCTCCGGAGACTCTGGTCTCAGAGCAGGGAAGGTTGTGGGGTCATGGAAGCAAAAGACAATTTTAATAGCACTGAGGGCAGCCAGCCAGCACAGCAATCACGTCTCATTTGAGGTTGAGGGGTTAGTGTGAGAGGGAGAAAAAAGCTCCAGGGACATGCAGCTTGTCTGTAAGAAGAGAAAATAAGGAGTCATAACTTAGAGGTCGCAGGCCAGTTAATAACCCTACAACACACGGTGGGCCCAGTCCTCCTATCTCCTGCTGGTGTTCAGCCTTGAGATACAGGCTGAGGCCAGTTTTTTCAATCAGCCTCATCTACATCTGACCCAAAATGCAGATTTTTAACTATCCATGTAGCTGCTTGGGAAAAAACCCACCCTTTTCCACCAGCCTTCCAGCTAGATGTAACTCTTTGACCATATTTCGTTATACGACTATAGTGAAAAGTAGTAGGTGCAGTTTTGTGGAAAACAGGGTACCTTTAAAATTATTATTGTTGGAAGATCAATGTGATGAGTGGAACTCCAGCTGGAGTGTAAGCTGTTTATCCATTGCCATCATCTAGTAAACCAAAAACTTACAAGAGAAATAAGGATACAACATAACACAGCCCTGCTCTATATGTAAAGGGAGTTTCCCCAGGGTGTGATCATTACCACCTTTTCTCTTACTGGAGATAAAAGGTAAGGAAAATTAACCACCAGGAAAGACTGGCCAGTAGAATATGTCTGCTCGGACATGGGCCCCTGTGCTGGGACGCTCTTTGAAACCAAGAAAGGCTAAGACACATGGAGTTCTTCAAGGAATGTCGTCATACAGATGCTGAAAGAAACATAAGCCTTCTGGTCACAACTGAGAGAGAGAGAGAGAGGGAAAGGGAAAGAGAGAGAGAGAGAGAGAGAGAGAGAGGAGGCCTTCTCTGAGAGCTGAGACTTTAATTTGAATTTCTGGTTTCCTAAATCGTGAGAGAATTAATTTCTCTGAGTTATAGCCATCTACCTTGAGAATGTAAAATGGTACAACCACTGTGTAACTTGCTGCTTCCTTAGAAAGTTGGCATAGAAATAACTTGATCCAGTAATCCCACTACTAGGTATACACCCCAAAGAAATAAGAACTGCAACACAAACTAACAAATGCACACTTGTGTTTATTGCCTCATAATAGCAAAAAATTGGTAAACAACCCAAGTGTCCGTCAGTTGGATGACTGGGTAAAGCTCCACGGTGCATTCATTCAAGGGTGAACTCATGAAATGGTGGAACATGAGTGGATCAAACTAGGCTGAAAGAGAGCTGATGCCTTTGAGCTGTGGTGCTGGAGAAGAGTGTTGACTATACCATGGACTGCTAGGAGAACAAACAGGTTTGTCCTGGAGAGAGTGAAGCTGGGCTGCTCCTTGGAGGCAAGAATTCTGAGACTTCCTCTGACATATTTTGGACATGTTGCAAGGAGGGACCAGTCCTTGAAGAGGGACATCATGCTTGGAAGGGTGGAGGGATGGAGAAAGAGAGGAAGACCCACAATGAAATGGATTGACTCAGTGACTGGGGTAATGAGGGTAGGTGTGTCAGAGACAGTAAATTTGGCACAGGACAGGGTTCAGGGATGTTCTTTGGGTCACTATGAGTCGCAAGTGATTCGATGGCACACAACACCACCACCACAACATAAATCAGTCACAAGAGGGCAATTATAGACCACTAACATAAAAAGCCAAGAAACTGTTTACATACAACTGGAATCAACCTTGGAAGGTTAACAGAGGTGAGAAGGGAGAAAGAGGGGAGTAAAAATTAATCGAAAGTTGGATGAGGGGAAGGCAACATGCCGTAAGGGTTTGATTGGACATTGTAATAAGTTAATTGCGTTTTTAAAAAAAGTTATCTGCTGACGAGCTCTGGTGGCCTGATGGCAAGAAGCTGCACTGCAATCCCAGAGGTGCATAGTTTGAATCCACCATATGCTCTACTGGAGAAGGCGTGACAATCTCCTCCTGTACCAGTCAGATCCGATTTGACAGTACACCCCCCCCCAAATAATAAGAAATTTTTTTAAAAAAAATAACAAAACAAAACAGAAACTGGTAAAAAAAGGGAGAAACAAGTTTAAAAAAAAGTTATCTGCTTGTTATACCTCTGTTCTAACAGTGTTATTTAACTAAGAAGCTTGTATTTTTTTAAAATATTTTTTTAATTGGGAAAAACATATTGGGGGTACAAGGAGGTGAGGGTTGGGGGCAGAAGGGTGAGGATGGGCCAGGATGCAG